TTTTAATTAGAGATCAGGTAAAATCCATTTCCCATACCATTTTTGCTGACGTTTTAGAGGATATCTTTTGTGTTTGTGTGTGTGTGTGTGTGTGTGTATTTTGTATGTATGCATTTCCACTACACTGTAGAAAAAAATCACTGCTAAATAAGATGAATCAAAAGAACTATCTGTAGTGTCATCACTATCTGATCAACTACCTAAGTTATTTAAGTGATAAGTATTCCAAGGCATTATTTGCCATCACTATTTGACTCATTGATGCTTGGGGATGCCCCTGAGGTCCTCATTCAGTGGGTGGGGCCCTAGTATCTGTACTTCTAAGAAGCTCCTCAGACAGGTTAAGTGCTAAGTGAAGTCTCTCAGTCGTGTCCGACTCTTTGCGACCCCATGGACTATAGCCTGCCAGGCTTCTCCGTCCATGGGATTTTCCAGGCAAGAATACTGGAGTGGGTTGCCATTTCCTTAGGAGCTGCTAAAAAGGAGTCCTGTGTTCCACTCAGCACATGTAGTGTCACAGCCAAGAAAATAAGAATCCTAGAGGCCATGAGGGGTGGGGAATGGTTAATGATTTCCTCTTGGAATTGTTAGTTGCAGCAGGCAGGTGGTTAGGTGTGATAGAGAAATGGGGGCAGGGGCCAAGTGCAGGAAAACAAGCATCTTGTAAACAGCGAGGGTCCATTGGCAGGTAAAGGAAAGCAGGAACCTTCAGACTGACAGGAAGTGACACCATTTTGGGTGGTAAGGGTCAGAAACGCAGACAAAGAAATGTAGGAACGATGGGAATCACCTGCATCCAAATGTAATCCTTTGCTCTCTGTGCTCTCTTTACAATAGGGCTTCCCTGTGGCTCAGTAGTAAAGAATCTGTCTGCCAATGCAGGTTCGATCCCAGGTGGGGAAGATCCCCTGGAGAAGGAAGTGGCAGCCCACTCCAGTATTCTTGCCTGGAGAATCCCATGGACAGAGGAGCCTGGTGTGGGCTACAGTCCATGGGGTCCCAAAGAGTCAGACACAACTGAGCGACTCAACAACAGCAGTCTTACAGATAAGAAGTACCCATCTTGCATTGATGCCATGACACTTCTGATCTGAGCTAAATCCCTAAGACAAAAATCCTTCTTCCCCTCAGGAAAATGGGGCTGGGATGAAAATCAGGGAATATGACCCCCAGGCTCATCCTCCTCCAGTAAATATTCCGCCCCTTCACTTGGATGCTCCTCGAGACCAGCTTGCCAAAGAAACTGTGGGTGGCAGCTCTTCACCTGTAAGCCTGCTCTCCTCTTTGCTTAAATAAACTTTCACTTTACTTTCTTAAGTTCTCTGCTTCATCTCCGAATTCTTTCATTATGAAGAAAGAACCTCCAATTCACTGACCACAGGGTGATGCTATATTTTGGAACTAGATAGAGGCGCTGGTACAGCTCTGAAGGTACTAAGTGCCACTGAGTTGTTTGCCTTGGTGCTTTGTTTGCAGTATGTGAATTTTGCCTCAGTAAAAAACACTCTGGAAAAAATAGTGCTATCTGTATATTGTGTATTGGAAAAATTAATTATCTCTATTCAAATTGATTGAGAAATAGCAATAACCTCAGATACGCAGATGACACCACCCTTAATGCAGAAAGTGAAAGAGGAACTGAAGAGCCTCTTGATGGGGGTGAAAGAGGAGAGTGAAAAAGCTTGAAGCTCAACATTCAGAAAACTAAGATCGTGGCATCCGGTCCCATCACTTCATGGCAAATAGATAGGGAAACAATGGAAACTGTGACAGACTTTATTTTCTTGGGCTCCAAAATCTCTGCAGATGGTGACTGCAGCCATAAAATTAAAAGACGCTTGCTCCTTGGAAGAAAAGCTATGACCAACCTAGACAGCATATTAAAAAGCAGACACATTATTTTATTTTTTTTCCACTTATTTTTATTAGTTGGAGGCTAATTACTTTACAGTATTGTAGTGGTTTTTGTCATACACTGACATGAATCAGCCATGGATTTACATGTATTCCCTATCCCGATCTCCCCTCCCACCTCCCTCTCCACCCGATTCCTCTTTATTTTGCTGACAGGTCTGTCTAGTCAAAGCTATGGTTTTTTCCAGTAGTCATGTATGGATGTGAGAGTTGGACCACAGAGAAAGCTGAGCACCAAAGAATTGATGCTTTTGAACAGTGGTGCTGGAGAAGACTCTTGAGAGTCCCTTGGACTGCAAGGAGATCAAACTAGTCCATCCTAAAGGAGATCAGTCCTGAATATTCATTGGAAGAACTGATGTTGAAGCTGAAACTCCAATCCTTTGGCTGCCTGATGCAAAGAACTGACTCACTGGAAAAGACCCCGATGCTGGGAAAGATTGGGAGGAGAAGGGGACGACAGAGGATTAGATGGTTGGATGGCATCACCGACTCAGCAGACATGAATTTGAGCACGCTCCAGGAGTTGGTGATGGACAGGGAAGCCTGGTGTGCTGCAGTCCATGGGGTCACAAAGAATTGGACATGACTGAGCGACTGAACTGTTTCAAATTGACTACCTTCTGAGTATTGTTAGGAGCTTCCCTGGTGGCTCAGATGGTAAAAGCGTCTGCTTGCAATACAGGAGACCCAGGTTCAATCCCTGGGTCGGGAAGATCCCCTGGAGAAGGAAATAGCAACCCACTCCAGTACTCTTGCCTGGAAAATTCCGTGGATGGAGGAGCCTCGTAGGCTACAGTCCATGGGGTCTCAAAGAGTCAGACAAGTCTGAGCGACTTCACTTTCACTTGAGTATATATATTTCTGTTAAGACTTTTCTCTTAAATTAAGCACATTTTTATTCTTTCTGTGATGTGTCTCATCAGTACTATTCAGAGCTGCTTAGTAGTATTTTCTGCTTAATTAAAACACCACCATTCCTTTTGATCATGTATAGCCTCAGGTAGTAGCAGAAAGAACAGGAAACTTGGGCTCAGGTTTGGGGGTTGTAGGTCCATTTCTGCCCCCTTGGCCATGTGGCTTTGGACAAGGCACGTTCCTGAAACTGGCTTTCCTGGTCTGTTTTTGTGTCCCACCCCAAACTTCTTGTGGGGGGATCCACTGAAATCATTTATATTGAACACTTTTGTAATGGCAAGCTACAGTACTTCTGCATGTCACTGTTACGTGGTTATTGTTTTGATTTTTAACTTGAAGTCAGCAAAATTCAAGAACGGGTTGAGGACAGTACATGGACTATTGGATTTATTATTAATATGTTTTACAGCTTGTAACTTATAGTGTTAATCATTATCTTACTTATGACTTCAGTAAGGCTAAGAATTAGTTAAGTACAAATATTAAACTTTAAGGATATTAGATGAGTTTTTGGGAGCAGTGCTTGTTCTTTGCTATAAAAATACATAAAACATGACGATTTTTAAGTTCCATGCTTAGGGAGCCTTCTATCTTACCCATGTGTAGCCAGTCTGAATTTAGTTAACGTCCATAAATGAGGAATAGATATCAGTTTATCAGTCTGCCAGGGTCCCCTTTGAGTTCCTGTGTTTTCTCTTGGTTTAAGCAAGCCGATTGGCCATCTTGTGAACTGACATTAGTGGTGACTTATATGAGGTCACCTGGGAAGTACAGGCCTGGGAAGACTCCCAGGACCTACAAAGTAAAAACCTTGGGCATGTTGCTTGCCAATGACTATAGTAAATTACTGGCCCAGAAGGTCATTCCGGTTTTTCCATATCTTAACAAGAAACCCCAACGAACTTTTTGGTCAACTTAATGCAATTTTACTTTAAACTGACAAGAATTAAAGTCGATAGCATATCACAAAAGTGGGCTAGTTTCCGTGTCTCCTTTCAATGGGCGCAAGCCCATATTTGCCAGCTGAAATCCCATGAAGCTGCAGAACATATAATGAATGTGGGGACCTGGCTGCGCCAGGTGCGTGCATATGTGTCACAGTGAGTGAGGGCGTGTGGACTCAAAGGAGGACGGAAGGCAACCTATGTGAGTGTCTTTTTTGTGTTGGTTTTAAAAAATATACTTAATTTCCACAATAGGCCTAAAAGCTGGGCATTTTATTTCGCCTAGTGGAGAAAGGTATGGGCTCTACCCCTGACTGGTTGTCTTGGATGTTTTGACGATGAAGAGGGTGGAGAATTGAAAAACCTAGAGGTTAACTGGAGCTTTATGAACGAGGAAGGAAGTGATGAGGCTCTCACCCCATAGTCTGCCTTGATTCTTCATCCCAGGCCTCCTCACAGCTGGTAACATACTATGGGTAAGGGAAGAGAGGTCACACTTATACACTGGAAGTATACTGTGGCCATTTTAGGTCAATAATTACCATTTTAGCTTGAGACACTCACTGGGTTGCAGCATTTCTCTACTTCTGTGAATCTGAAGGACTTCATTGGCTCCCAGGAGGGACTCACTAAGACAGTGGCAAGCTAATAGCAAATATTTATTTAGCAAATATTTATTGAGTGTTGAGAACAGGTTGAAGATAACACGGGCCACCCAGAAGATTGCCTTCATTGTATCACACTATACACATAACGCGTTTCAAGTTATTATTTTATTGGATTATTTATGGCCTATTATACAAGGCCATGTATAAAGTGATTTGGGGTTTAGGAGATAGGGTGCTTCGCTTTATAAGGTGAGGATCACCTTGGGAATTGTGGGGTTTTCCACGGGAGCGTCTGGTGGCGCCATCTGACTCTTTGCAACCCCATGGACTGTAGCCTGCCAGGCTCCTCTGCCCATGGGATTCTCCAGGCAGGAATACTGGAGTGGGTTTCTGTGACCTCCTCCAGGGGACCTTCCCGACCTAGGGGTTGAACCTGGGTCTCCTGCATTTCAGGCAGGTTTTTTTTTTTTTTACCATCTGAGCTACCAGGGAAGCCCATCTCCAAGTGAAACACAAGTTTAAAAAAGAAACTGCCTGTGTGAGACGTTCCATTGAAACGTCTTACTTTTGTGTCCAGGAAAAACCCCTTTGGAGGCCATGCTTCTGTGAACGACAGACGGCGGTGAGCATGTCGGCCCTAAACTGGAAGCCCTTCGTGTACGGAGGCCTGGCCTCCATCACGGCGGAGTGCGGTAAGTAAGGAGCCCAGAGTGGAGGCTGGCCAGCTGCCCACTGCATCTGCAGGCTTAGACTTTGGTCACGATAATTGGATATTGTATATTGGAAGACTGGTGTGAGTGTAGTTCAAACACAGAATGTGAGATTTTGAAACACTTCGTCTTAGAATTCAAAATTTCTTTCTCCTCTTGGGAATCTTTTAAGACAAAATAGGGACTTTCTGGGTGGTCCGTTGGTTGACAATCTACCTTTCAATGCAGGGGACATGAGTTCGATCCCTGGTCTGGGGACTAAGATCCCATATGCCATGGGGCAGCTAAGCTCACTTGTCACAAGGAAAGATCCTGCATGACGCAACTGTCATAAGACATGATGTAGCCAAATAAAAAAATATTAAAAAAAAAAAAAAGAATAGGTAAACAATGACTGACTGCTTATTAGCAGTTTAGGGTTCAAAGTTCAGTAGGGAGAAGGTTGAACCTGTTGCTAACAGAAGCCCCATGAATCACTGTTGGCTGACATCTGTCCCCATTCTCCTTGTTGTCCTTCCCACTCTGGCCCTGTGAACACATTTGACTCTAAAAAGGTTCCGGGGCCCCACGATCTTCCCAAGCCAGAGGTGAGCAGCCGTCACCCTATCATCGTGTTCCCATCGTGCTCATCCATGTCCTGCTGCTGACTTCATCAGCTCCGTCTCCCATCATGTCCCATGTGTTCCTTTCTTTATTCCTCGAATCATTCATTCAACACATGTTGGTGATTGGTGAGAATTCCCTGGCGGTCCAGTGGTTAGGGCTTCCTGCTTTCACTGCCTGCGGGACCCGGGTTGATCCTGGTCAGGGAACTAAGATTCCACAAGCCTCCTGCTGTGGCCCAAAGGAAAACAAAACAAAGTGAAACACATGTTGACTGAGATGCTGTTGCGTGCCAGGTGCTAGGTGAGTCACCGCTGACCTGGGAGAGAGGCTGCCCTTGAGGTGACCGCAGGGCCTGGAGCCGACGGGCTGGGACTCTGACCACTCACCCACCCGCCCCTGCCTTCGGTTTCCTCTGGACTCATTGACAGCGTGACTCACAGTCACTGTGTACGGGTGTGTATATTTGGATGGACGCTCTCCTAGGTACTACATTAAACATTTTGGCTATTAAGAGTCACTTTTGGAGAAGGAAATGGCACCCCACTCCAGTCCTCTTGCCTGGAGAATCCCATGGACGGAGGAGCCTGGTAGGCTACAGTCCATGGCGTCGCAAAGAGTCGGACATGGCTGAGCGACTTCACTTCACTCACTCCTTACTTTATCACTGGAGGAGGACATGGCAACCCACTCCAGTGTTATTGACTGGAGAATCCCATGGATGGAGGAGCCTGGCGGGCCGTGGTCCACGGGGTCACAGGGTTGGACACGGCTGAAGTGACTAAGCAGCAGCAGCAAGAGTCACTTCTAAGCTGTAACACACAGTAAGAAACTCCTTTAGAAAAGGCATTTGTCTCCACTCATACGCAGCACAATATTAGCCTTCACATGTGTGAAAAATAGTAACTTTTATTTTTATCGTTTTATTATAATTAGTTTTTGGCCATGCTGCGCAGCTTGCAGGATCTTAGTTCCCCGACCAGGGGCTGAAGCTGGGACATAGCAGTGAAAGCCAAGTCCTAACCACTGGGACTCCCAGGGAATTCCCAGTCACTTAGAGTTTAGAATGGATTTCCTGTTTGTATAAAGCATTCCAAGTACCTACTTTAGATAGCAGTGCAGCCTCTTCACATCCTATGTAGAAACAGATGGGACATAAATGCAAATATATGGAAAAGAAAATAGTTACGTGTTTTGATTCTTAAAACTTTTTGATTCTTATTTTTAATTTTAATTCTTTTGATTCTTAATTATTAATTTTAATTAAAAAAACTTTTGATTCTTAATTTTTTTTAAATAAGTAGAAGACTGCAAAGTATCAAATTCTTAATTCTGCTTCTTAGTCTGAATGTTTCCTCAGTAATAAGTCACTGTGTATCCTTTATTTAGTGGAATTTCTTTCTATTAAGTGAAACCTTTCCTTCTGAAAAATTTTAAGGTACCTTTCCAATTGATTTAACCAAGACACGGCTCCAGATTCAAGGCCAGAAGAATGATGCAAACTTTAAAGAAATCAGGTATCGAGGAATGTTGCACGCATTAGTGAGGATAGGCAGAGAGGAAGGCCTGAAAGCGCTATATTCGGGGTAAGTAGACATTTCAAATGGACAGACTTCACACTGAGACTTCACAGAGAAAAAGTACAACGTTGGGGTGTATTTGAAAAGAGCAAGTAGCAATGGTTGGTTTTTTTCATTTCAACTTTGTTTTCTACGTGTTTTTTTTTTTTTATTCTGCTCTTTTTTTTTTCCATTTATTTTTATTAGTTGGAGGCTATCTACGTGTTTTATATAGTGAATGTTGTGGTAAAACTTTTTACTATGGTCAAATATAGATAATGGTATAAAAATTACGTTTGTTTCGAAACATTCTGTAGTTTATTTTTTCCTCTTCCCCTTGGTTATTACTGAGCTTTTTACTATGATGAAAACGATGTTCTGTTCTCCATGGACAAGAATTGCAGTGAACAGCTTCTCTTTAGTCCAGTGTTTAGTGAACATTGTGCTGTAGGTGCTGGATAGGAAAGTGGTTAAGATGGGACCCTGTCTCTATCAGAGGCCCTGCAGGAGCTCATTCATTTGGATGATTTAAACGAAGGGAGATTTAATGAAAGGGGCTTCCCTGGTGGTTCAGTGGTAAAGGACCTGCCTGCAATGAAGGAGATCTGGGTTTCATCCCTGAGTTGGGAAGATCTGGGGAAGAGATTGGCTACCCGCTGCAGTATTCTTGCCTGGAGAATCCCATGGACAGAGGAGCCTGGCAGGCTACAGTCCATGGGGTCACAAAGAGTTGGACATGACTGAGCGACTAACACTTTCACTTTAATAAAAGGGCTGCTTAAGGGTTAAGGGAACAATCGAAGGGTTACCTAAAAGCTGGCAAAATGAGAAATGGTTACACAGGCTGGGACCAAAGGAACAAGGACAAAGGAGTAGTGTTCTCAGAGCCTACCAGAGCTGCAGCCTTGAAGGAGCCTGTAGGAGGGGTCGAGGGATGCTCTGCTAGTGCCAAGGAAGAGGAGGAAATCCCTCTGCTGCTTCCTCCCCTCCTCCCCTCTCTCCCACCTTCTCCCTGCTGAATCCTCCTGGAATCAGCTAGCAAGGGAGCCGGCTGGTAGTGTCCAGCGGCAGCTCCTGCCCTGAAGGAACGTTTTAGGGCAGAGCACCCACATAGTGTGTGACCTCATCCGTGGAGGTGGAGGGGAAGGAGGAGACGGGCTGACGTCTCTTCTGGTTCCGGCCAGCATGCAGATGGAGGTTCCATTCCTTGGCCTAGGACCCAGAAGAGGAGAGCGGATCGTTTGGAAGTAGGGGTGATTAGCTCAGTGTGGACTCTTGCTGTGGTGGTAGGTGCAGGGCATGTGAGTTGAGAAATCTGGGAAGGAGGTGGAAATGCATCCTAGAATCAGGGTTGGAAACACGAGTTTAGGAGCCAGCAGTGTTAGGTCAGTTGAAGTCATGCAAGTAGATGAGCTCATCTGGTGAGTGTGTGGAGGCAGGAGGGAAGAGAGGAAGGACGGAATCCCCTGCCCCCCCAGAGGACAGAGGTAGGATGTGCAGAGAAAGAAGAGGGATGGAAGAGGGTGAAGTTGAGGCAGCTTAGGGAGGAGATGATTGCAGGCAGGGTCCAGGGTGGGCTGGAGCAAATACCACAAAGGCAACAAGGCTTCATAAGATGCTGATTGAAAAGCGTCATTTGATTTAGTAATTGAGATGTCCCCTGGGTCCATTTTGGTGGGGGGAGGTTACTGATGGAGAAGTTGGAAGGAAGCCCCATTGCAGCCTAAGAAGGAAGTGGTAAGTGCGGCAGGAGAGCCTGCGAGTATGAATGCCACAGGGTGGTTCTGGGATCAGGGAGGGTCCCTGGAGGAAGAGGGAACAACTGGAATAGGGCCCCTGGGGAGGCGGGTGGTGAACTTCAGAGAAACCCTGGAGGATGCCGGCAGAGGCCAGATTTCATCAGGGCCCTGTCCTGAGGAAGGAAAGCCCACCACGATCGGGAAAAGAGAACTCTGTGTTCACGTATTTGTGTACATTTTCACTGAGGATAAATACAGTGGGCTGAACTATCACTTAGGGAGCTAATAACTTGCACACATTTGACTGAACCTGCCTGTGTTTTTGCTGAATTTTGAACTTTAAGAAAAATCCATATTAGTGTAGTTTGCGGAAGGCAGATAACATGATTGTGTCCCTTGTGTGCACCCTCTAGAGGATTTTCAGTGACTTTGAAGAATTTCTTTGTCCCTTGGTTTGACAGGATCGCCCCAGCAATGTTACGCCAGGCTTCCTATGGCACCATCAAGATAGGCACCTACCAGAGCTTGAAGCGGTTATTTGTTGAGCGTCCAGAAGGTGAGCGGGGAATCCTTTTTCCACTTGTGGACAGGAGGTGGGTTGTTTGTCTTTTTACTCAAGTGGTTTACAAACAGAGGAGAACTTTGGGCATAAAGTCTAAACAAATTCTGCCGAAAGCACGTCAGCTATCAGCTGAATTTAGGAGGGTAACAGTTAAAAGGAGCAATTTACAAGGCTCTTAATGAGTTATTGCCACAACATCCAGACTAGAGTATGTCGTTATAGTTCTAGCCTACTTAAAATTCTCTAAAGTCCTAGGAATTATCACCTATTTTTCAGGAAAGCAGACTGTATTTCTTAGTATTAAGAACTCTTATTTTATTTTATTTTATTGCTGGTTGATTCTTTGACTTTGCTTTAATCCATAGAAGTTCCTATCTCTTCTTACAAAGGAGTGAGCACCAGTCACTGTTGGGTGAGGAGCAAAGATGCTTTAAAAGTGCTTCAGTGTATTCCAAATAAATATGGTGTGCTTGAAAATTTTATCTCCACGTTATCTCATAGGGTATCTTCTATTCTTTTACCAGGTGGTGTACTACCTCATCTTAATTACAGTAGTTACATTTATACACACGAGTGAATTGATGGATGGTTACTCTTCCATGATAATTCACATTCCTTTTTAGGTATCAAGAAATTTTGCTATGGGACCTCCCTGGAGGTCCAGTAGTTAGGACTTTCACTCACAAGACTCAGGTCAGTCCCTAGTTGGGCAGCTAAGATCCTGTAAGCCAAGTGGTGCAGTCAGAAAAAGAAAAAAAAAACAATAAAAAGAAGTAATTAAAAAAAAATAAAAAGTTTTTCCTGAGCAAAATCTCTTCCGCCAACAAAATCCCAATTTCTTTTAAAATCACTTACTTCATTAAGCATATATTTCTTTATTCTCTTAAGTGAACAGGTGGTGTGTACATGAATTTCATTTGTATATTCATTACTCACATGAAGAGTTCTATATATGTGAAAAGTCAAATAATGTGTCTTTGCAGATGAAACCCTTCTGATAAATGTGGTCTGTGGGATTCTCTCTGGAGTCATATCCTCAAGCATTGCTAATCCAACGGACGTTTTGAAGGTAGGCAGCCCTATATCTTGGGCTTCTCTCATAGCTCAGTTGGTAAAGAATCCGCCTGCAATGCAGGAGACCTGGGTTCGATTCCTGAGTTGGGGAGATCCCCTGGAGAAGGGAATGGCAACCCACTCCAGTATTCTTGCCTGGAGAACTCCACGGACAGAGGAGCCTGGCAGGCTGCAGCCCATAGCGTTGTAAGAGTCTGACACGGCTTCGTGACTAAACCACCACCACAGCCCTGTGTCTTATAGGCACACTCTGCATTTTCTTCATGAGATCAACACTCAGATCATGAAAATTTGTGAATATAACACACTGTGCACGTGTGAATCTGTTTACAGTTTTAGTGCCATGAAGCCTCTGACTTAGAAAGCTGCATTCGGTGGTTTTCCCACTGATGCAGGTGAGCTCACGAGTACAGCCTGTTCTTGGAGACGGTGATGATTTGGGAGGTTTTGGTGACTAACCAGAGAAAAACGTTTAGGCTTGGATGCATTTCATCTGCCATTGAAAATCTCCTGTGTTTTATTGGTTCATGAAAATAGGTGGACTGCAAGTTTTACACCTGTCGAGGCTGTACATTGGTGACCCTTTCTGAAGGTGTTACGTTATCCATTAATCTGACTACAGGAAATAATAAAGAAAATATTTACTTAACCACAAGTAGACATACCTTATTAGATGACCTTGCCGACAGTACCAGGATACTGCCTTCTTAAATCCCTTGGGGCTAACTAATTAAAGTCAAAATTAGGTGCAAGTCCTTGTTTGAACCCTCTCAAGTTTTCCCTTTCCTTCCCTCCCTCTCCTTCTCCCCCATTATTACAAGCAGCATTCACTGCACTCCTGCTTTGTACCAGTTGGTGTCCTGTGTGCTTAGAATCCAAGGATGACTAAGGCAAGGACCCTGCCTTCAGTCCTCAGTCTAATAGGAGATTCTGATAACATCAAAGTTGTATATGACAGGGACGCTACAGTTACGTGGGTACAAAGAGAACTACTAGGCTGTAAGTTTACCCCGTGCTGGGGTTAGATTGCTAGAGAAAAGTTTCCACACTCATTCACCTCTTAAATGTTCGGAGAGGCAGTTCCTGCATTTTGTCTTATTTTCACATGTTACCATGGCAGTAGCAATCACCTTTAGAGTTCGAGGTAAATGCATGTGCTCTCTCAGACAAAATAAGGTACCAGTTTTTAGTGAAAAGTCCCTCTTTATTTTTAAAAATGTGGAGAGCTACATTAAACGTTATTTTTATGTTGACATCTTGGTCATGTGAATTCCATGGCTGTGGTAAAGTTCACTTGTAAGTTCAAGTGTAAAAGAATGTGACGGCGTCACATGCTATCCTTTGGCCAGCACGTCCACATACCTTTCGGTTTGGCTGGAGTGAAATAATAGTGGCTTGGAGTAACTAATTTAAGAAGAGTGCTTGCCCATGCTTGATGCTGCCAGGCACACTGGCATTATGTGAAGTCTTCAGAATTAACACTCAGAGTCTCTTTTTCCTGCTACTAAGTAACCTAGAGCAAAATATGCCACTTTCTTTCCATTTCAAAAGACTATTAATAATAATAATAGTTTTGTTTTGACACTTAATGAGCTACTACCTGCAATACTCTGGACTTTCCTCGATGCTTTTTGATGATTCCAAAGTGCCTAAGAACCAATCCATATAAACTTAAGCTAGCTTTATAGTAATATATATGGTACAGTTTTTTTTTTTCTTTTAATGGTTATTAAACAGCAGATTTTTTTTTTCTAGTTTCTTTCTCACATTAGTCTTTAATCTCTAGATACGGATGCAAGCTCAAAGCAGCACCCTTCAAGGAGGAATGATAGGCAACTTCATTAACATTTACCAGCAAGAGGGCACGAGAGGACTGTGGAAGGTGAGCTGACTGGTTCCTCTTCTTTAAAAAAAAAAAAGGTTTTGTTTTCCCTATTTCCATTATTTTATCTAATCCAAATGGCATAATGAAGTAACTGAAGAATGACATCTGCCCTTGAAGGGATCTTCTTCCTTAATTTCCTTAATTTGTAAAAGGAAAACATGTCATGATTTTACATCAGGAATGTGTCATGATTTTATAGTAACTTTTGTGTAATTCACATGGAAGAAATGCTATGAAGGCTGAATTTTTGTTTGTTTTTTTCTTTTTTAAGTTCTTAGGGAGAAGGGCTTACAGTTACGTTGGGTTTTTTCAGTGGTATGGTTTCATGGCTTCTGTGAAGACCGTTAATCAGGCGCTGGTATGGAATGCTATTTCCTAGTATTCTAGGGACAGTCAGTTCATAGAATGATCCGAAAGGTGACCCAGTCCCATTCTCTCCGTACATACAAGGAAACTGGAGGCACTGAGCGGTGACTTGTCCTGGTGAAGGTCGTACAGTTAGTACCAGAATCAGAATTAGACTTTGGAGCTTCTGAATTCTTACCCTCTGTCACTCTGCATTTCTACCCACCAGCAGGCAGACGTATAAAAATTGGCCATCGTTTGTGGGGGAGAGATGTCTGAATCTTCATTATGGATGTTTTTACCCAGGGTGTGTCCCTTACTGCTCAGAGGGCTGCTATCGTGGTCGGCGTGGAGCTGCCAGTCTACGACCTCACCAAGAAGCATCTGATTCTCTCAGGCCTGATGGGAGACACGGTGTATACCCATTTCCTGTATGTTTATGGATTTTCTTTTTTTAATTAATGTTTTAGGTATGCATGACTTTAGAGTGGAAATTGGCTACAAATTTATAGACATTTTAAAGTTTATTATAAAAGTATTATATTCTCATATTTGAAAATTATGGTACAGAAGTAAAGGGAAAAGGTATAATAAGCCTTCATCCTTCTACCTAGGTAGCCATTGTTAACTGTTTGATATGTACCTTCAGGTTTTTCTATGCACATGTAAGTACATCTACAAAAATATATTGCTGTGTTGTGCTCAGGCGTGTCCGACTTTTTACAACCATGTAGACTGTAGCTGCTCTGTCCATGGTTTCTCCAAGTGAGAATACTGGAGTGGGTTGCCATGCCCTCCTCCAGGGGATCTTCCCAACCCAGGGATCGAACCTGAGTCTCCTGCATTGGCAGGTGGATTCTTTAGCACTGAGCCACCAGGACAGCCCCACGAAAGTATATCACATGTGCTTTATTACGCAACTATGATCGTGTTTAGCATTCTTTTACTTTTATTTTTATATTTAAAATTTTTTTTCAACTTTATTGAGGTATAAGTAGCAAGTAAAATTGTAAGATATTTAAAGTGCACAATGTGATTTTATACATATGTATATTGTGAAATGATTACCCCCATCCAGTTAATTAACACGTCCATCATTTTGTGTGTGAGGACAAAATTATTCTACTCTCGTAGCAAATTTAAATTATGTATGATACTGTTATCAACCATAGCCACCATATTATATATTAGACCCTCAGACCTTATTCATTTATTATTTTTAAAATTGATTATTTTGGAGTATAGTTGCTTTATAGGGCTTCTCAGGTGACTCAGTGGTAAAGAATTCACCTGCCAATATACAATGGAAAAAAGACAACCTCTTTAACAAGTGGTGCTGGGAAAACTGGTCAACCACCTGTAAAAGAATGAAACTAGAACACTTTCTAACACCATACACAAAAATAAACTCAAAATGGATTAAAGATCTAAATGTAAGACCAGAAACTGTAAAACTCCTAGAGGAGAACATAGGCAAAACACTCTCCGACATAAATCACAGCAGGATCCTATATGACCCACATCCCAGAATTTTAGAAATAAAAGCAAAAATAAACAAATGGGACCTAATGAAACTTAAAAGCTTTTGCACAACAAAGGAAACTATAAGCAAGATGAAAAGACAGCCCTCAGATTGGGAGAAAATAATAGCAAACGAAGCAACAGACAAAGGATTAATCTCAAAAATATATAAGCAACTCCTCCAGCTCAACTCCAGAAAAATAAATGACCCAATCAAAAAATGGGCCAAAGAACTGAACAGACATTTCTCCAAGGAAGACATACAGATGGCTAACAAACACATGAAAAGATGCTCAACATCACTCATTATCAGAGAAATGCAAATCAAAACCACAATGAGGTACCATTACACACCAGTCAGGATGGCTGCTATCCAAAAGTCTACAAGCAATAAATGCTGGAGAGGGTGTGGAGAAAAGGGAACCCTCTTACACTGTTGGTGGGAATGCAAATTAGTACAGCCACTATGGAAAACAGTGTGGAGATTTCTTAAAAAGCTGGAAATAGAACTGCCATATGACCCAGCAATCCCACTTCTGGGCATACACACTGAGGAAACCAGATCTGAAAGAGACACGTGCACCCCAGTGTTCATCGCAGCACTGTTTATCATAGCCAGGACATGGAAGCAACCTAGATGCCCATCAGCAGACGAATGGATGAGGAAGCTGTGGTACATATACACCATGGAATATTACTCAGCCATTAAAAAGAATTCATTTGAATCAGTTCTAATGAGATGGATGAAACTGGAGCCCATTATACAGAGCGAAGTAAGCCAGAAAGATAAAGACCATTACAGTATACTAACACATATATATGGAATTTAGAAAGATGGTAACGATAACCCTATATGCAAAACAGAAAAAGAGACTCCGATGTATAGAACAGACTTGTGGACTCTGGGAGAAGGCGAGGGTGGGATGTTTCAAGAGAACAGCATCGAAACACGTATATTATCTAGGGTGAAACAGATCACCAGCCCAGGTTGGATGCATGAGACAAGTGCTCGGGCCTGGTGCACTGGGAAGACCCAGAGGGATCGGGTGGAGAGGGAGGTGGGAGGGGGGACCAGGATGGGGAATACATGTAAATCCATGGCTAATTCATTTCAATGTATGACAAAAACCACTGCAATGATGTAAAGTAATTAGCCTCCAACTAATAAAAATAAATGAAAAAAAAAATAAAAAAAAAAAAAGAAAAAAGAATTCACCTGCCAATGCGGGAAACTCTGGCTCGATCCCTGGGTCAGAAAAATTCCCTGGAGAAGGAAATGACAACTCACTGCAGTACTCTTGCCTGGGAAACCCCATGGACAGAGGAGCCTGGGGTAGCAAAAGAGTCAGACCAGGACTGAGTGACTATAAACAACAAGTTGCTTTATAAGACCCTCTTCATCTTAAAACTGAAAGTTTGTGTGCCTTTCCCAACCTCTCCCCCGCTTCCCCCAGCCCCTAGCTCTCGCAGTAACTTTTCTGCTCTCTGTTTCTATGACGTTTGGCAACTTTGGAGACTGTTCTGATTCTCACGCCTCAGCTGGACAGGGAGTGCTAATGCCATCATCTGGGGAGAGGCTAGTGAACCACTCACATCTTACATTTCACAGCAAAGACGTTCCCAACAAAGACTTATCTGTTCAAAGTGTTAGTAGCTCCGAAGCCGTGAAACCCGACTCTTGAGTTAGTTGATGCCAGAACGGGTCTATGGTCCAGGTATCAGTTTAGTAGTCCCATGGACCCCCGGTGGGCATTATATTACACTGAGGAAATCTTTGTCTCTGATATCTTAGGACAGGACAGTTATGATACAGCTAAAATTACTCTGATGCCTGTTTATAGGTGGATAGATAGATAAATAGATCATCCTTGGAAGATGCTCCTTGTATGTTTCTGTATTCCTTCCTGTTTCTACGACAGCCCAGAACCTCAAAGGTATTGTCAGCCGGGACTGGAATTTATAAGCCAGGATAAACAGTGCCGGTGTTTAGAAGTCTGTAGCTCTTAGATGAGGTCCTGATTCGCATGCGTTCTGTTGCCTGTTACACATTAGCCTCATCTGGGGGGAGGCTGTTTCCTGCCTTTGATATGCTTCTCTAATGGCCTTTATAGCTCAAGCTTCACCTGTGGGCTGGCGGGGGCCCTGGCCTCAAACCCTGTGGATGTGGTGAGAACACGTATGATGAACCAGAGAGTCCTCCGCGATGGCGAATGCCCCGGCTACAAAGGTACCCTGGACTGCTTGTTACAGGTGAGTGGGGCTGTCCGTCTGTGCACTGTTGTGAGTTCTTTCTGTGGCTTCCATGTTATCCTCTGAAGAGTTTCTCTTCATGATTTAAAAACACAAGGGCTTAGAGCCCGATGACCCTCTGGTTCTGTCACTTGTAATCCTGTGACTCTGGTCTATGTACAGACAGTGTACACCTCGATTTCCTCACAAGTAGCACGGTGATACCACCTGTGTCACAGAATTATTATAAAAACATTGCGATAATACTGCCGAAATGGTTAGTATGGTGCCTGGAATAATGTCATGTAGAAATATTGTATATATTTATAGTAAGTATAAGCATAATAATAAAGTCTTGTTCATAGAATATAATATATTAATATAAGGGACACTGGTGAAATAAGCACATTTACTTAGTCTTCAATATTCTGTGGATTGCTTCTGTCTGAAACTGCCCTCCAAATATATGTATACATATATATATATATTTAAATTTATATTTATTTAATCAAAGAAGTATCTAAGTTTTGAGGACTTAATATAACTATGATGAGTGATGCTCTAAAGCCTTGAGATGGTACAGAGTATTTGCCTAACACGGGCTTTTATAAATACAAAATCTAAATGAGTATTTAGAAATGAAAGTTCATTTTTCTTCTGTCTCTGCTCTGCTGTGAGGGGTGAGAAAATACTCATATTTTCTGCGATGACAGTAGAATTGTGTCTGCTTCCAGAATATATCGCCTTCCTGTTGAGTTAAACTGGAATGAGTATCCTTCATTCAGACATCTCTGAAAGGAACCCATGAATCGTAACCTTAATTCTCAGTTTAAATAACTGGGCCTACTGTTGATGAGTAGATGACAGTTTGGGACTGTGCTACTGGACTGCCAGCAGCCAAAGATGAGCCACAGTTCTGTGGTTGCTGTTTCCGTCATGTTGCTGGCACACCCCTAGACTTCAAAATATTGCTTTAATGAAGCAGAGATACTTAATGTTGTCCATCCAACAACATGAAGTAAAGGTACCCTGAATTATATCTTTATCACTGTTGCCTCCCTTTCTAATTTATGACCTGTTGTGAGTCCACATGGCAAGGAGGCAGTAGACTCTAGTTTGGAATTAAATCTCACTTCACCCAGCTCCTGTTTGCTTTGGGTGTGGGATGGTTTGGTACAGAGCCCGAGTCCTCACCTAGGCAGAAAGCTTTAAAGAACAAAGAGAGGCAATGATTTCATAGATAGTCCTTCCAACAGAACTTTATTTTTAAGAAAAATAGACCAGTTCAGTCTGGCTCCTAATTATTAAGGCATATTTGACATAATTGGAAAGTTGGGCGCTAACTTTTTTCCCCCCTCCCTTGTAACAGACATGGAAGAATGAAGGATTTTTTGCTCTATATAAAGGGTTTTGGCCAAATTGGTTGAGACTTGGTCCTTGGAATATTATTGTATCCTTTTCTGTTGTAGTAGATCTGAACAAAGATACACCGAAAGAATGTTGTTTGCATAAACTATCGGGTTATTAACTATAATTAAAAGGAGATTTTTTTCTCTTTTGAATTCTTCTCATTCAAGAAGTTAACTATTTAGTTTCTTTATACACAGGTACAAAGTCTCTCTGCCAGGCTCTGTGAAATGATTGGTTTAATGATGGTGTTCTTGAAAGCCAATGATATCAATGAAAACCTTTATTTAGACTCTGCTCTAGGAGCTGAGTATGTTTATGATTTCATAGAGAGACAAGGATTTATTTATTTATTCTGTAAATCCCTGGCCACCCTTGGGCAGGATGTGGTTTGGCAGCTATGTTTAGAATGCTTGAGAGTGCCCAATGATAGGAATTAGCTCCAGAATTATTTGCCTGATAAGCAGTTTGTCCTCCACACCAAAGTGAAAGGCAGGAAAGAAACAACAGTTTATTAGGAATGAAAGAATTGTAAAGTAGGAGATGTTGGTTTCTACCACCCTTGTTCTACTTGAAAAAAAAATTTTTTAAAATTGAAGATACTTGCTTTACCACCCTTGGTTGTCATTATCTGTGCTTCCCTCCCATGGAAGCTTGCCTATTGGCTACCCTGGAGGAGAACTTCCAGGATTCCTGCCTTCTCTTACAGACTTGACTATTCTGTACAGTCTTCCCCAATGTTAGAAAACCTAGCAGTGTGGATGTACTCCCAGAAGCTGTTGCAGCTGATGCGAGGGATTTGTGTGCCTCAACTATGGTCTGTCTCTTCCAAGCCGATCTTGGGAAGGCTCCCAGGGAGTTCTGGGGTGTTGGATGGAGCCCCTCATATTTCATCATGCCCACAGCACATTGTCTGCCCAGACATGTTTGTTAGGAGGTGTGTGCTATTTGTGGGTCTGTTTTGATGGGTCAGGATTAAGATGGTATAAAATGTCAGCCTTAACTAATACACCTGCAGTTCTTTGTGACCTATGAGCAGCTGAAGAAACTGGATTTGTGACAGGTCAAGACTGCATGAGACATCCTCTGAAAACGCTCACTTCTGAAATAGCGAAGCTTCCTGTCTTTCCCACTGCTTCTCACTGCTTGGCCCGCCACAGATTGGGGTGTGAGCAACAGGTGAGGGCTGGGTTAGCTCAGATCGCTGTGTCCGGCATCGAACGCCCTGCACCAAACGTTTAACGGCCTCGACTGTAACATCTAGACACTAGTCCTTACTGTTCAAGTGCCCTTCGACATCAAAGATAACAGGAAATGCATAAAGAAAACTTGCATGAAGGTCAGGAACTGTGGACTGTTTCCTTCAGGCGAAGCGTAACTCCTGGTGCACCTCAGCTCATAGCCGAGACTCCCAGACTGTTCTGAAGAAGCTCTTTGGAACCGTGGGATAGAACGTCTGAGAAGGTGTTACTGTTCCTGAGCTTCTGGGGGGGCTTTGGCTTCGTGTCTGCTGAAGAAATTCACACATGGAGACCTGGTGTACCCCAAGTATAAACAGGGCAGGATAGAGATCCCTGGAACATTGCACTGCTTTGTAATTTTTTATTTTGGCAGGATCTTTCACTTATAATAAGTGACTTTTAAGCCTTTCACCACTCTACCTTTGTGGGGAATTGTTACAAAGTATTACCATCTAAGCTCATGATGGTGTGAGAGGTTGGCTTGGAAGGTAGCAAAGTCAGTGTTGTGGGAGGTGTGTTTAAGCAACTTGGGTTCTGTCCTAGGTGATGGTAGTACTGGGTTGGCCAAAATGTTTCTTCAGGTTGCAAGAGTGTGGGGAAAATCTGAACGAACTTTTTGGCCAAGTCAATAATTTTCCCTGTGATATTAGCAGAGTTTCTATCTCCCAGTCTGTACAATAGGGATAATAACATCTGTTGATACTGAATGTCAGGTGAAGAAAACAGTAGCTCCTACTACTAAACTTGTAGGATGAGTGTCTTTATATCGTGGTGTTGTATAGCCATAATTCCAGAATAAATAGTTCCTATGTGTGAAGAGAGTCATTTTATCATGGACTTCTCCCAAATGTGGCAAGTTAATTGAAGAGTTGATTTTTCCAGATTTCCCGAGTTTTACTTTAGTTCTGGTCACATTTGTTAAAATATTTCCTGTCTTGGACTTCCTTATCAGTTTGGATGGAAAATACTTGCTTGAAATTTGAAAAGCAATATTTTTGTATACCTAGAGTCTGATACGGAGAAGGCAATGGCACCCCATTCCAGTATTCTTGCCTGGAAAATCCCATGGATGGAGGAGCCTGGTGGGCTGCAGTCCATGGGGTCGCAAAGAGTCGGACACGACTGAGCGACTTCACTTTCACTTTTCACTTTCATGCACTGGAGAAGGAAATGGCAGCCCACTCCAGTGTTCTTGCCTGGAGAGTCCCAGGGACGGGAGCCTGGTGGGCTGCCGTCTATGGGGTCGCACAGAGTTGGACACGACTGACGTGACTTAGCAGCAGCAGCAGAGTCTGATAAGAGGTATATAATAGCTTTCTTCGTTTCTTCTAAAGACAGGATATCATTCTTCTTTCTCGTCTTCATCTTACTCTTTTCAAAATAAAAAGTGACTCTGAGAGAGTCCCAGAACCTTTATACTTCTGGAAGACATCCCTAGGAAAGAAAATATATTCAACATTCACTTGGGTAACTTTGGTTCTACCCTTAGAGTGTGTTCAGTTGTGTCCAACTCTTAACTACCCCATGGGCTGTATCGCGCCAGGCTCCTCTGTCCATGAGATTTTTCCAGGCAAGAATACTGGAGTGGGTTGCCAGTTCCTCCTCCAGGGGATCCCCCCGACCCAGGGGTCGAACCCATTTCTCTTGTGTCTCCTGCGTTGGCAGGCAGATTGTTGACTGCTGCGCCACCTGGGAAGCCCTGTGAGAATGACAGTAATACGTACTTGCTGGGGCTCCAGGACAGGCACCTTTGCGGTATATGCAGGTTCCCAGTCCGTCCAGCCTCTTGGACTGCTCCTCCTTCGAAGCAGAATAGAAGGCACGCAGATTTTTTGGGGAGATTGGGCAGTTTTTCTCCCGGTCTCTCTCACCTTGCCTTCTATATTAATGCTGACTTTGAAAATAAGATTTTGTGAAGCAGGATTTCTGTTCCAAAAGTAAGAGCTAAGACAAGAAAGGAGGAGGTCAGAGGGGCAGGTAGGTGTTGATTGCTTCAAAATTCAGATGGAAGTCTAGTTCTCGCTGACCAGCTCCAGGTGTGATACTAGAGAGCTGACCCTCTTCAGGCCTCGTCCCTCGTAACAAACCATATATTTAGAGAGGAGACTTCTCTTCTTACCAGAACATTCCACTGATGTAAGGGCTTTCTATAGAAAGGCTTTCACTTTTGGGTTCCTTGAGTTTAAAGGATGACTTTTTATGAACCACTCTTTGTTTTTTCCCCTTAATGTAGAAAACATTATAAGTGTACATATAATTCCTAAAACAGTAGAAGTGAGTTCATTGAGTTCATTTTGAAGACCGTGAAAAGATTGAATGTCATGCACTATTCATTATATCACTTTATTCCAATATGTTCATGTTCATACCAGGATGAAAAGAAAACCAAACCTCTCTGTAAAAGGTAAGCACATTTTTAAGACAAAAATGCTGTATTTCTTCAGTGCAGACTTATTATAAATACCTTATAGAACCGAGTCTTAACCTGTTTTGATTTTTTTTTTTTTCTGTTCCCTGAACGAGTTATGCAGTTGTTGAAGCTTCTAACCAAGGAAGAACTTGAAGGACTGGGAGATTTGGTCTCCTTGTCTCCGGGGCTGTGACTATTAAGTTCCCTCCCTCCACCCCCGAGGGTATTGTTAAATGTAGCAAAGGGATTTTTAGCTTTTATAACCCAAATGAAGAAAGTGGATTTGTTTTTTGTTTGCTTGTGGATTTGTGTAATCATTGATGGCTAATTTTGGCTGATTGTGATACAAAGAACGGCTTCTGTTTTCTGTATTTATTCATGCACCAGAAATAGTGTATATTATTATATAAAGACTATAAAAGTTTTCATAAGCCTTTATATTTTGAACTCTTTATTTAAACATTGTTGGAAAATGTGGCATAAACCTTGTGTCATTATTTAATAAACTATAGTAATATAATAAAAATGATTTGTGGTTATTTCAGATGCATTGAAACATTTGAACAAAGACAAGCTCTTAAACCATCCGGGAAGTTGGAATTGATCTGGCATTTGTGAAGGTGGCTGCAGACATTTCTCTCTGCTTAGAGAAGTTGTTGAGATCATCTTACTAATTGCCTGGAGAGGTGTGTGGCCTCCCAGTCTGCAGCTCAGTAGAGGCCACTGAATTTGGCTCGTTGGGTTTGCTGGGCAAGGCAGCTTTGAGATTACGGAACACAGGTGGGGCGCCATCAGGGTCTTGAAATTTCAGGACCCCCGCAGTCCTTCTTCCAATGCCTGGTGTTGGCAGGATCCTTGGTTAACTGTTGGCTAGGCGGACACCTCTGGTTGTGATAAAACAACCAGGGGATGAAATGCAAACCTGGTTCATTATTTTTTTTTTTTTACTTGAACATATTTTCTAGGTGCCTGTCTTAACATTTGAAATAAATTCAGTGGTCTATTGAAAAAACGGAATTGGCAAAAAAAAAAAAGGAAGCCTTGTGGTCTCTGATCCCCTGCCTAAGAGATCAGATGACACACCTTTATGTGATCGAGTTCACATGAAGGTCAGTGGGAGGAGCTGGCTGCTGGTGAACCTTAAATGCTTGGGGAATTCACATCCCACTGGATCCGGGCACCTGTTAGACACACTGGGCGTGGAATCCAGGCTATCTATTTTTAAAGGCACAGCTGAGAAAATCTGATGGTAAGTTTTTGGTAGATGACAGCTGCTCCATCCTGAAGCAGAGTATGGGAATAGAAGACAAAGGCAATGGATGGATCAGTTTCTTGCAAACTTGATGCAAATCGTGGGACCAAGAGCAAAAAACTGGAAACTCCCTATGCCTATATGTCCCTTGCTGATATAATAATCTGTGCAGTAGCTTACCACGGGACTCAGGAGAAGAATGAGTTATATCTCAGTCTGCTGAGCTGGGAAGATGTGCATGATATGCTATCATAGGAAACAAGATGGAGACTTCTATAGGTATATCATGAACTCATCACTTAGAGGAAAAAGCATAAACTTATGTCAGTAGGGAACGGTTGTAAAGGTTGTGGATTAGGCTTCTCCAGAGAAAGAGGGACCAGTGGGATGAGTGTGTGTGCCCATGCATGGTTTATTTTAAGGAATATGCCTATGTGACTGGGAGGCTGGCAAGTCTAAAACCTGTAGGGCAGCTACGCAGGACAGCAGATTGGAAACTCAGGCAGGGTTTCTAGTTGTCTTTTTTTTTTTCTCTTTGGCTGTGCCATGTGGCTTGAAGCAGTGAATACACTGGACTGCCAGGGAACTCCCTCTGTTTTAGTCTTAAGTCAGAATTCTTTCTCTGGGAAACCAGTTTTTCCCTCCTAAGATCTCTTAACTGATTGAATGGGGCCCACCCATATTATGGAGTGCAATCTTTTTTTAAGTGCTTTTTAAAAACTTTTGTTTAATTTTTGGCTTTGTTCCTGTACGCAGGCTATTTCTAGTCTCGATGAGTGGCAGCTTCTCATTGCGGTGGTTTCCCTTGTTGCGGAGCACAGGCTCCAGGGCTCACGGGCTTCGATAGTAGTGAGTCCTGGGCTGTGGAGCTCGGGCGCAGCAGTTGTGGAGAACAGACTGAGCTGCCTGAGCACGTGAGATCTCTGAGCAGGGATAGAACTGTGACCCCTGCATTGGCAGGCAGATTCCTAGCCAGGGAAGTCCAATATGGAGTGTAATCCTAGTGTCAGCTGATTGCAGATGTTATTCACAGCTGCACGCACCTTCATGGCAACATCTAGGCTAGTGCTTGCCATATATCTGGGCACTGTAGCAAGGTCAGATTGACACAAAACTGAATCATCACAGGGTAGAAAATTATTAATATTTTCTTTATG